GCATTCTGCTTCTTTATTTTCTTTAATCAATCAGTTTTGACTTTGAACTTCACTTCACCTTGCCCTCATCCATCAACAAGGTCAAAATTTATGAATGTCAAATCCCTAGGAATGTTTTCAGAAGGTTGAAAGTAGTTTTTCTCCTTCCCCATACTGATGACTGAAGGATAGAAAAGCCTCACCATTCAGAAAATACGCACATCAAAGTAAGCTCAACAAAGACAGATTTGTCAGTATTCGGCCATTTTCAGTTCCAGTCACCAGCATGTGCTGGACATTTCACTGCAAGTGCTGATCAGTTAAATGTCATACAGTTCACACATTTTAGCCCCTAAAGCCATTAAGACATTTACATGGATTTTAGGGGGGGTGTTAAAGGGTTAATGGATAATATTGATAGTAATTGTTCAGTTATTTCAAATGAACTATAATGTTTTAGCTTTCCAGTAATTCAATTTCTGTATAAAGTGTTTTAATCGCAGAATTTAACATATTGGAAAATACATATTATTACATATCGCTAATACATACAAACTGTATAATAACCTTAAGTGCTAAAAATGTCATATTTTCGTTTTCTTTCATATGCAAGTGTATGTATTTAAAGCATTTTTAAACACACACACACACACACACACACATATGTGTGTGTGGTGTGTGTTTAAAAATGCTTTATATATATATATATATATATATATATATATATATATATACATATAAACCTTGTATCTCCAAAAATGTATAAAAATGGTATAAAAAAGTTTATAGAAGAAGGAAAAACCTACTTTACTTTTAATGTTAGTCAATGGAACCAGATGTTTTTCCAAGTACTTTTGGGCTTTTTATTTTGGTCCATTCATCAATGAAATTTACACACAATGTAAAGGGCAACAGACATTTTCAAATTATGTCAAAAACTAAAAAATGACAAAAATGGAGCTACAAGGTTTTGTTCTGACAGCTGCGATACATATATATATATATATATATATATATATATATATATATATATATATATATATATATGTGTGTGTCTGTGTGTGTGTGTGTGTGTGTGTGTGCCTTTTATTTTATGCTTATTTATGGCTTAAAAAACTGTTTTGTTTTAATGTGATACCAGGTCAGTCAGTTTCCCAGCAACACTAAGCTTATATATTTACTTAAATGAACACTGGAATCAGCTTCACTCTGGTCTAAATGTGGGAGTCCCAGTCAGGCATTTTCTACTCTTGGATCAAAATAAGGAATCCACGAAAAGCCATATTTCTGTGTGAGAAGGTGAAGAGGCGGGAATAAATCACACACACACACACACACACACACACACACACACACACACACACATGCACTCACACGCACACACAAACACACAAGCATACACAGAGTTAACCCAACCAGTCACTCACACTCACTCTGTTCTCCTCCACACTGAAACTGTATCACTTCCAGATACTATTCTACTACCCACGACAGCCGAGCAATAAACCGCCCCGAATTCATATTCATTCTCTCTGTTCATGAGCTGCACTGCAGAATCACTGTGTGCACAGTCTTGTTTTGTGGAAAGTAAAACTTTCACATATGTGCTATATTGTTATCAGTTTCTGATATCAAAACACGACTGTACACACAACAATAGCTTTATTCATCAAATTCAAACTATAATAAAATATCTCCTCGTCTACCAAAAGTAGAAAAGTTCAGGATAGATTCACTTGTTTTAATCAGCAATGAACAAAATAATTAAATATTATGATATTACATTATTTTGTTCAAAATAAAATTAGAAAATGTAGGAAATGTCAGAAAGTATATATCATGGGGGGTCTAAGAGGGTTAAGCAAAAAATAAATGTAACCTTTCAGTCCATATCATATTTGTATAAGTAGTGGAGGAGGTTTTACTATGATTTGAATTTGATGGCATTCATACTGTTTGCACACTGTGAAAAATTATCTAATGTTTTACCTTAAAAAAGCAAATGATCTGGTTGCCTTATTTTTTTAGTTCACTAAGGTTCACAGTTGGACCTTAAAACCACTGTTATGCCTTTGATGGTACAATTACATTGTTTGTACCTTGATAAATGATAAATGTACCTGCACAGCACCTTTATTTCTAACAGTGTAGAAATGAAATGAACTCAAAATTTTAAGGCAACCATGTTACTCACTTTTTTTTAAAAACATTGAACATTTTTACAGTGCAGTCTCATAAAGACATACTTCATATATGCGCCATTTTTTTATATCTAACATCAACACAAGCAAAATGTGTCAGCAGTGTCATTTTTTGTCATATATACAATGTAAAAAATGTCATCAGATCAATATAAAAATATTACTTCATGTCGTAACAAGTAAATGAACTAGTTTTATTCAAACTCAATAAACGCTTTAAATGATCAATTGTTTCAATGTAATTTTTTTGAGTTGAATAAAACTACTTAATTAACTTTTTACCACATGAAGGAATTCTTTAGGTTGATCTGATGAGACATTTTTACAGTGTATGCATTTACATTACTGATGCTATTGTAATGTAATTACACTTCAATAACTATGTAATGTAAACAAACTGTAAAGCAAAATGATTATGATAAGTCTAAACCTAAAAAAGAATTAAAGCCAAGTAAATTATTAGCTTAACTTCTGTCTCACTAACCTGCAAAAGTGTTAAAAAATAATTCAAGGCTGATACATTTCACTGTATGAATAATGAGTGAATTTTTTCGTTTTTGCTGTCTTTTCTCCGTAGGCCAACTCCCCTCCTCACAGTTCTAGCTCGTTGCGCTCTCACTCTCTTTGTGTGTGTGTTATCTCTGAGATCTCTGCCCCAACACACATTCAAGCATTCAGAAGTGGGAGCGATGCAGTGCGGAAGCTGTTGCTGGGTAAAAAAATGAGGGTGAAAAAATATGACGCGTCATTGTTGACAAAAGAAATGGAAATAATCCTCTAATAAAGGAATCAAATGTGGTCATTATATGCTGCACATACGTGCAGTGGCTCATTCATTGCTGCTCTGTCTAAATGATTTTTGGTTCAAATATTGCAGTTGTGTATGAAGCCATGTGTTTCATTCCTCTAATGACCCCACCCTTCCTCTTTTGAGCTTTTTTTAACACTGCGGCTCTGCATACTGTGATAAATTACAGTAGTAGAATGGGCATGACTGAATGCAGGCCAAAGCAATGCAATTTACTGTTTATTTTTGAGCATTATGGGTCTATCAATATTTTTTGTAGCGCAAAAGTCATACAAATAGCACTTCATCAACGCCATCGGCTGTTCCCATTTAAGGGACCGTATGCAATCACCACAGCTCGCTCTTCAATGGGCCTATTGTTTGACTAAATGCTTTTCGGCTCATTTATTCCAGTGTATGTTGTTTTGGAAAGCATTAACATATTAATTACCAGTTAATGGACTTAATTAGGTTACTTTGTAATTAAACTGTAAAGAATTGATGAGCCGAACTCAGGAAAGCATTAATAAACTGTTGCAGGAAGTGTAATTTCTTTCTTATTTCCCATTTCTGTGCGAAACCGTCAACCTACAGTGCTGTGAAAAAGTCAGAGACTACCTGTCATTTATTTAATTTCCAGGCAAAACAGCCATTTAGTTCAAGTTGCTCATTTTTCAGGAGATTTCTGAGGGGATCAGGTAGAAGATAGTCTACTTGTACAAGGAAGGAGAAAGTCAAAGAAAAAATATGAAAAAATACAGAGAAAATGGGACTCCTAACAACCGTGCAAGACCTGGAGGAAAACCAAAACTCACCATCAGATAAGCAGCACTTAAAAGCTTTCTTTGTACATAATTAGTCTTACATGAGGAGGTGGAGTAATGTTATTATTATGTGCATTTCTCAATTTTAGTCCCATCTGAATGTGCCATGTCAGTCATTCTTACCGACCACGCTCCTGCATCTATACAGATTCCAGCACCTTTTACCTTCTGTGAAACAAACCATAGAATTTTCATCAGGCTATATTAATTCCATGTGAATTAACATCAGTAAAAATGCTATCATTTTCTTTGGAAAAGGAGTTTCTCAAGTATGGCGGGCTGAAGAAGTGTTTACTTGTATTCTCTGTGGCCACAATTAAGCCAATACCTACTGCCCTTCCTTACTTCAGTCAACATTAAAACATTTACTGAAAAAGTCAACAAAACAATTTACTGAAAAAAGATTTTATGCAGTGATTTTGACTGTTGGCTGTGAATTCCTAATCTAATGACACTGCTAATAACACAGTGCATTCACTTGAGACAGCGAGACTTAAGGTAAACATAATAGTTTTGACAGGTTTTCTACTCTTTTCTGGACTCAAAGCTGTGAATCAATTAGCCACTCTGTCACTTATACAAAGATTTCTTATCCTGTACAAACTGGTCAGAGACATTACAGATGGTAAACTGTGGTTAAATTATATTAGTCCACCTCTCTGTGCAAAACTAATCCTGTCCAAATAGTACTTGTGTGAAAATCAAGCTCCACTCAAGCTTCAAATCTGAAAAAATCCATAGGTGTTTCTGTCCATCCTTCCGCTGTGAGAAGACTCAGAGCTATGGGTCTGAAAGGATGTGTAGTGGTCAAGAAGCCCTTACTGAGAAAAGAAATAGACTGCTGGTGTTCTCAAAAATTGGACTGACCACCCCAGAGTTCAGATCTCAATATCAGTGAATGTGTTTGGGAATACTTACAGAAAATCCAACCAGCTTAGCCTTTATAGCATATATATATATATATATATATATATATATATATATATATATATATGTAATAGCAGCCTATATCATATTTAGTTGAAGTTGATGCTTCTGTATAATTTTCTACTATTTATGTTTTCTTTTTTTCACACCAGAAAACTAAACAACTTGAACTTAATGGTCTTTTTGACTGGAAATTAAAGAAATGAATGGTGGTCTCTGACTTTTACACAGCACTGTCAGTTTGATACAATGCAGAATAACATACATGCATTTGCAAACAGGAAAAAAAATTGTCACATTTATTTGATATCAAACAAGAGTTGAATTTACATCAGCGTCTGACAATGGGCACCTACAAAAGATTGAAATGAATACAACAATGTTGTATTCTCGCACACACTTTCATTCCAACCTTTTTTTTATTATTTCTTGATATTCCATACTTCATCTAATAAATTATTTAGTGTCAAATGCTGAGATATGTTTTTTAAGACATTATGTTGACACAAAAAAGGTTCTTTATCCCTGACAATCACTGCCAAGCATTTTACACCAAAATAAATTACAGAAGTCCAATTCACTCCAAATTTGTGCAAGACGGAACTTTTTTTTAGGTTGAAAAAAAAAAAAGAAAAAAGCTTTTCCCTGCACAAGTACATTGGCGGAATAATGAATTTTACTGTCAAAATTCATAATTGATGAAAGCAAATACACTGTTCACAAGTGGAAATGTGAAAATGGGCTTCTTTTCATGTCCTCAAAGCTTCTACAATGAATAAAGTGTAAGAAGATTTCACACATTTCAAACAAAAAAAAGTGCAACCCCTTCCCTAAAATGTCTTGAAATTTCAATTATGGTTGCCATAATCTTTTTTATTTTTCTAATGATCATTTTTTTGTCTATTTTTTTCTTGTTTTCCACTTGTGGTACAGCAAAATATATTTTCTTTAGCTGTCATTCTTACAACTGTTACATGTGCAATAGAGAAAATATAAGGCCTGAGTCAGGAGTAGTGGTTCTTTTTCATTCTTTCTTTTTTAAATTTGTTTCAGTCCGTGTCATGATGCCGGACAACCCCCCCCCCTGCACTCACGGGGTCGAGGGGCCTGTCCGTTGCCTCTGCTGTTGTCCCAGGACAGTTCTCAGAGTTCTAAAGACTAGCATTGGTTCAGTTTATGTCTTTTTGTCTTGTTTTGTTGAAACAGTACAAACAGTACAGTATATCATACAAAGCGGTGGCCGGAGCGTGGACAACGCCAGCCTTTCTCACAAACACTTTTTTTTTTTGCTCGTCAAGCAGCCTGTGTGCTTTTCCCACCTCAGCGGCCACCATCCCACGAGTGATTTAAACCACGCAGATGGCCGGTCCACTTAAAAAAAAACAAAACAAAACAATCAAATTGAGAAAAAAGGAAGAAGAGCGTCTGTGGGTCATGGACCATCAAATGAAGAAATGAAAGCGTGGTCATGATGCACACTATCTCGTGCAATTCTGGGCACATGGTTTCCAGTCAACCCCAACCATACACACACATACATACACACTCATAAGTGGGCATTAAAAGCATCCTATGGCAGAGTGAAGAATAGTCCTCTTTAAAACAAAGAAACTGGACAAAAATGAAGGCCATGGCACACTGACCCAATATAACCTCGCAAACACCGGCATTCAAGTGTTGGCATTTGGCTTAATACTGCTCTAGAATAAGAATGGATAAATGAACGACTGTGAATGGGGCAGAACATTCTAGAATAGTGTGAATGGAGGAGAACTTTTTAGAAAGCTCTCAACAGCGACACTCAAGTATGGCACGCCAATCAAACATTAGTTGGTGTTAGTTGGAGATTGATGGGTTGGTGTGCTCTGGCCTTACAGGAATACTCCATCATTTTTCAACCTGGTTTCTGTTGCATCTGTAGCATGTGGTTGACCACTATAGGGGTGAAGTGAAGTGCTTTTTGTGTCCAAATCCAATAATTTCTTAGGAGATTATTTATAAATACATGTCATATGTCACATTATCCTACAATACCTCCTTTATGTAAATACATTTTTAATGCATGAAAATAAAATTTGTCATTCATGCCACCCAAAGTCTGAAGATGTCAGGTGCTGTGGCCAATCAGCAATATATGTAGAATATATGTAGATTAAGTAAACTTTAAAAAACGTAATTTAGTGTCATACAACTCTAAACAAAAGGTTGCCATGGTGTCATGTTTGAAACCTAAAAATCACAAAACGTTGCAAATTAGGGCAACTTTGAAAATATTCAGATTCCTTCAAATGTCATGTGGCACAACAGACAACAAAGGCCTTTTATTCTGACATGCTTTTAAGAAAGACCGGGCAGAGTATTGCCTCATAAAGAAGACCCTAAGTGACCTCCATGGTGCAATGCCAAGGTCAGTAGTCCTTCCACAAATATTGAAAACAGTGCCATTTTTGAGTTGTGGTTAGGCTGATTCAGTTTACCGAGTCACATGGTACGACCCCAGGAAAACAAAGAAAATGTGTTATTATTAAAAGTATGTTTATTTGTGTTTTAATTAACGTGTTGTTGCACCACCTGACATTTTCTGGGTGGAAAAAAATGAATTTATGTTCTATGAAACAACACATTGAATAGATTCTTGCAGATACAAAAATGCACATCATTTAAATGTATTTTTAAATAAAATTTAGAATTTCTAAAATTATTATTTTTAAAATTCTTTATTTGATCCATGCCTGTACTCTGTAAAAGAGCAGAAAAAACACTTTGACTTGAAGCACACTCATAATGGAAGTCAATGGACAGGTGCTGGAGCTTTGTTTCAAGTCAACAGTTTTCCTATTCCTTCACTAAATGTTCTAAATTATTGTCCATAGTAACTGACCATATGCTACACATGCAGCAGAAGGACATGTTGGGAAAATCATGGGAGTATTCCTTCAAGGGTGAATGTGGGGCTTTCAATCCGGTGCGTGAAACAAAAGTCATGGCGCCCCTGACTTCCTGGGCTGAGAGAGGGAAGGAAGGAGAGAAGGATTGCTCAGAGGCTGGTGATAAGCTGCATCTGTCCATCATGGGCTGGCTCGGACTCGGCTGTCTGGCAGGCCTCGGGCGTCCCGGGGCCGATGCAGCCCTCGCTAGTGCCTCGCCGGCCAATGTGGTAATAGGACAGCGGCTGGGCACCGTCGCCAAGGTCCGGCATGCTTTTGTGGCACAGCTCGTCGTTAGCCTCGCTGTGGCTGGAGGAAGAGGAGGGTAAACATTCATCCTCCTCATCCTCCAATCCTTCCGGCGGGTAAACTGGCGAGCGCTCGTCCTCCGCAGATGAGTCTCTGAGGTTGGGCATGCTGGTGTACAGCGAGTCTCTGTTATTACTGGGCGACTGCGCGCTCTCCTCTAGCCCTGCCTTTTTTTTCCCCTCTTTTTCCTCCTCCTCTCCTCGATCCCCTCGTTCGCTGTGGCAACCGGCAGGCCTGCGGGCAGCCTGCCTGTTGCCGTACAGCAGCGAGTGAGTCCGCTGGGGTAGCAGCGGGGCCTCCAGGACGTCCCGGTGGTGCGGGTGCAAAAGAAGCTCCAGCGGGGTCGAGTGGTCAGCGGTAGCGGACGTGGGCAGGGCAGGGGCGTCGGCCACGATGGCATCGTCCTCACTCCCGCTGCTGCAGCCACTGCCCCGGACAGCGTGGCGGGGGGCTGCCACCAGACCCCCCCTGTCCCGCCCCCGGGGAGGATGAGGCTGCCCCCCTGCCCCGCCCCCACCCCGTGGCCGCAGGTTGTTGTGCACCAGCTCAGAAATGATCATCTTCTCAAAGGCAGCATCGTCCAGGCCCAGAGCGCACTCGGCTGGGCAGCGCAGCACAGGGTCATCGCACTCCTCATCCCGCAGAGAGTAGCTGTTGTTGAAGTTGCCATTGAGCGGCAGCGTGTCCATGGCGCTGACGTCCCGGCTGTTGCTCAAAGAGTGCTGGCCTGCAAACAAGGCACAAAAAAGACGTTCAGGACCCATATATATATATATATATGCAATATGCACAGTTAAATCAGAAACAAACAAGTAAATAAAAGCATGGAGCACTGTTGAGGACATATAATGTACTTTTTCTACCTATTTCTGGCATCTACGACAATATAGAACTGCAAAAACAATCAGTAATTTCTTATTTTTGCACCAAATTTATTATTACCCCAGTGGCAAATATGAATAAACAGGCCCGGCATCAGATCTAAATTATGAAAACCACAACAGGGGCTGCGCATCCATACAGAAAATTAAAAATGAAGAAAAACATACTATAAATTACTGTATATCTGTACAGTAGCGATGCCACACCATGCTATGCTAATCCAGCTGACATTTCCAATACTTTTAGATCTCCATGATGATGATGTTATCAAATATACAGTCATGCATCAGTGGTGCTTATGGATAGTTATCTTACTCCAGCGTTCTTCAAATCCGGTCCTGGAGGGCCAGCGTCTGGCACAGTTTAGTGATTTCTCTGCTTGAAAACACCTGGTTCAACGCATCTGTTAATTGCCAGGTTTACATAAAGATTCTGGAAAGGGTCTTTGTGCAATACCATAGAACAGGGGTGTCCAATCTTAACCACACAGGGCCAGTGTGGCTGCAGGTTTTCACTCCAACAAAGCAGGAGCTCACCTGATCAGCAATTTGAAGACTGAAACCAACTGATAAAACAAGTGGAATCAGGTGTGCTTCAGCTTGTTTTGAGTCAAAACTTGAAGCCACACCGAACCTTTGTGGTAAGATTGGACACCCCTGCCATAGAAGAACTAAACTTAAAGCTGCTAAAACCTTTCAAGAGAGACCATTCTTGTCAATGAGATGTGTGAGTGAAAAGAGCCTTTTTAAAGCTTAAGAACAATAATATAATGTAATGGTTCTAAAAAAGAACCCTTATATTAGTGAGGTTCTTCACACTCTCAGATCTCTGGTTCTTTAGGGAACCAAAAGTGGTTCTCCTTTGACATCACGCAAAGAACCCTTTGTGGCTCCTGGTTTTTAGGAATGTAGATGCATTTAAGCAGGAGAATCACAAAACTGTAGACTTGACTTAAAGAACCCTGCTATTCTCCGTCTGGTAATAATCATCATTGCCGTCATGACAATCATCATCATCATCATCAACAATTAAATCAGCAAAATTTACAATCTTAAAGAGAAAGGGGCCAAAATGAGTTCTTTGTGAAATGCCATAGAAGAACCACTTTTAGTTCCCTAAAGAACCTTTGAATAGGTGGTTCTTTAGAGTACTATGTGTGAGTGTGAAGAACCTCCATATAATGCAAAGATTCTAGCAAGGAACCTTACATTTGTAACATTTACATTATGTAAAGGTTCTTAAAATGTTTAAAAGGTTTTTCACACTCACAAATCTCTTTTATAAACATGGTTTGATAAGGCAGTGGTTCTCAAATCAGACATCAGGGCCCCCAAGCAGTCCATATTTTTGCCTTGTTCCTATGTTTGGGCTGTCTGGGGGTCTCTGGGGAATGCGAACTGCTGCTTTAGGGAACAAAAAATGCTTGTTCTATATCAAGGGTTACCAGTCCCAGTCCTGGCGACTCTACACTGTGCACATCTTTCTTCTTTGTCTCATCTAGAAAACCTGAATTAACCCATTAACTAATGAAATAGCTCCTCATGGCCTGGGTCAGCTGCATAGAGCAGGGAAACACAATAGTGTGCAGATCATGGGGTTGTCAGGACTGGGATTGGAAACCTCTGCTCTATGGCATCTCTCAAAGAATCCTTTGAGGCACCTATATTTTTCAGAGCATAGTTGGCTATGAAAATAGAGTTGGTGGGGCATCGCTCCACTGACACCGGGCCTGCAGCTAATGACTGTTACTTTACTATAATGTCCTTAACAGTAGGTAAATGGGAAAAAGAGCAGCCATTAAACCTTCAAAATGCACACACATAATGCATGTAGTCACATGTAAAAGCAAGCTGCCACTGTAAATGAACATCAGACAGAAAAAAATACAAGAGGCAAAGAAGAATGCAAATGGCTCATGAACCATCCAGAGAAGAAATGAAAGCGTTGTCATGATGCACTCACAGCCATCTCAGCCCAGGGACTCCAGTCAACCCAGACCACACACAAGCACACACACACACATACATACAGGCTTACATATACATATACACACACACACACACACACACACACACACACACACACACCACACACGCACACACACTCTCAGGAAGGCAGGCATGCGGGCGTGCGGGCGGGTGAGGTGAGGTGAGGTGCAACAACTCACTTTGCCACCACTCACATTATGTGTGTCTGCTCAGGCTAGCTGGCCTGAGAACTGCTGGCCGTGCCAAAAGAAAAGTGAAACAACGGCGTTTTTAAAATCGCAGCAATGATAAACAAGTGAGAAACAGCAAAAAGAAAGCTTTCAAACTCTATGGCCCTGAATTCAGTCCATCCAGTTCACTGATTCTTTCAATTTTATGCACTTTTTCACACTGAAACAACCAACAGTCATAAGCTTATGTTTTGTTTTACCCTTCTTAAACCCCTTGAAACCTTCCTAATGCTTTACTACCAAAAAGAAAATCTAGTAATAAAGATAAAATAAGAACTTAAAATAGGAAATGATAAAAATGTGTCAGTCAGAATTTCCATATAGTTTCTAAATGATTCTATGATTTGAGAACTACTATAAAACATGTAATTCATGCAGATCTCACAGTGAGAAAATAGAGTCTGGGCCCACATGTGAGTTCTTAGTAGGAGTAGCAGTTGCGTCAAATATTCACCATATTTGTGTACAGCATGTGTTTTTTTTTCTGCTGCTTTTTATTTTTAAAAAGGTTATTTCTGTACATGAACAGGATTATTCTATTCCTAATGGGCCTTCTGGACACAAAATACATTTTCTGGATAAATGACACAAATCTCAAATATAAATAACACATTTAAATCCAAATAATTTGTTCCCTCACGTCCCATAACAAATGAATGGAGAAGAGTACGATCAATAAAACATGGATCCATATGGAGCTGAGTGGAGCAGCCCCCTTTCAGTGCCGTAATTATTACTTCCTTCATTACTCATCACTTAGTTCATTTAATTAACGAGCGCCGGATGGCTGAATTCAGGATGTGGCGTGTGTAAGGCTACAGCAGCAGGCAGTCGCAGCCTCTCTCTCTCTCTCTCTCTCTCTCTCTCTCTCTCTCTCTCTCTCTAAAACAGCCCCTCTAACAGTCTGGGTGGGAGTTTTAACATCTATGAGCGCTTTCTCAGACCCAGATTAAGCCTTGACCAGGACGAAGGAGAATTTTAAACCTTAGAAGTCACAGTTATTACTTCATTATTTGAGCAGTTTGTGATTTCAGCAATTTTTTTTTTGTTTGGATGGAGGGGGAATGTGTGTTATAGCTTGATCCTGAAATAAAAAAAAGTTTTCAATAATGTAAAGCAAATTTGTTGAAGACATGTATATGTAACTATACTATTCTATATGTTTATAAAGCTGTAAAAAAAGAAAGGTTGACAAAGATCGTTGTATCACAGTATAATGTATAAATAGTTACACTAAATTTAATTTAAATATAACAAGTGCAACACCTATGATTATTAATATGACATGAACTTTTGAATGACAATGTGAAATTAATTCATTATATAACTAAGGTGTATTAAATTATCTCATTACATTACTAAATCAATGTATTACAACAGTATTAACACTTCATTAACACTTCATTACCCACAAATAGTATGATTATAAAGTAGTACTTATTAAGTAGACAGTTTTTATAATTACCTTTAAATAAAGAAAGAAGAAGAAATTAACTTTCGTCTTTTCTTTATTAAACACCCATTAAGAGATAAACATAGCAAATTAGATTATCAATATAAATGTTATGAAATACAACATCAGATCATTGCTTCTAATTTTCTACGTATCTGTCCCTATGGCATTTTTCTGCAACGTTTAGTTCATAATTTCTATTTATTTATTGAGTTCAACATATTTGAAAAAAATGAAGCATAGAATTTGCCACATAGGCCACATTTTATTTTTCCCCGATATGTTTGATTCAGCAAATAAACTGTAATTGTGCATTAAAATGTGCAGAAGAGTTTTCTATGTAGAGGGTGTGTTTATTTTCACTTAGAACAGCAACAAAATGTTATTTGACCACAGGTCCCCAAATTTTGCATGTGAATGTAACTAGATAGATAGATAGATAGATAGATAGATAGATAGAATTAATAAGGCTATTGGACACCTACATAAGCATTACATTAAATTGACCTAAACCTACATAAACCTTCATAAAGGCTTATTCGACTGTCAGTTGCCCTAAAGGCTGCCTTTGTCCATTTTAACATCCATATTTTACCTCAGCAAATGTATTGACAGCTGACACCTATTGGAAAAAGCCATAAAAGGCTTATAGAGGTGTCATATAGCCTAATGAACGCTGCTCTTCAGTAAAGTGTTAGCCAGACTTCTAAGGGTTAATAGTGTAACATCAGTAACACCAGAATTTAACCCAACACTAGGCTTAATCCATGTGTGAGAAACCGACCCACAGTCAGGTTACAATTACAAAGCACACAGAGCAGTGTTTTAAAAAAAGATTGAATTTCAAACAGTCATATTTATGGATCCTCATGTCTGTGTGATGGAGAATGAAAAAGGCAATGTATGTTAAGGAAAAAAAAAAGCAGGAGAGGATGAGAGGAGGAGAGAGAGGGAGGGAGGAAAGCTGAGAGGGCGAGCGAGGCGCAGGATGAGAAAGCCACACGCTGTATCGACTGCCTGCTCCACTTCACGCCCTGCATAGGATAGGATTTAAGTCGCTCTAATTTGAACAGAAATGGGTGTGAGATTGCAGCAACGGGGGGAGGGGGGGAGGAAAAAAGCAAAAACAAAAAAATCCATCGGTGTTGTAGTGTGACACGCCGCAGTCGAGATA